TTGATACTCACAGCAACTTCTCCAAGCAGCTGGGTTGGCAGTGACAATGACATTAGCAAAAGTCATCTTGACAATTACTATCGCATGCTGGCAATTATAACCTTATCCTCCACATTTGTGTTCACCATTGTTGCCATTGCCTATGAATTACGGGGAAAAGAGGATACGGAGAAGAGTGGGAAGAAGGGCTGAAGCTCAACAATTAATTTTCTGTTTTGGGTATTTTGTGCTTGACTGTTTCTTTGGGTATGGTTTCTTAGATTCCTTGTGCATTTGTGTATTTAGCTATACTTTGTTTAATTATTTGTGTCGAATAATGCTATAACTGGATGTAATATGTCTACCTTCCCCAGATTAACAAATCTCTCAGGTCTTCGCTTTAAAAAGTTGCTGCGAAGAAAGAAAACAAAATTTTACTTGAAGTTGAATTAAACAATTTTGTTTTGGTACGTACCAACTTAAACAATTTATTTGTCCATTTGTTGAATGAAGTTCAGATTTTTGTAGTTTTCGAAGTACTGTGCCATCACATGCTGCAACAATTCAATGTCTGATTTTTTGATGTAATTTAACCTTTGGTTAGGTAGCTTTTTGTTAACCTTCTGTCAGTATAGACACTTGAGTAATTGGCTAAAATTAAGCTACTTGTAGTTTGGTCAACTACTCTTCCCCTTTCCCAAAAGCTAGTGTTTATTTTGCATAAAAGGAGAAATCAACGATCATTTCTGTGTTTTGCTCATTTTTCTCTCTATTTTTTTTTTCTCTCCATTTTTCGTTTGAGCAAAAACATTACATGGTATCAGAACCTCCTCTGATCCTTGAGAGGCTGTGAGGGAGTGAAAATTGAGAGTGAGTGACACCCAACCAGAACCCAAACACCTTGAACCCCAAAAATGGAATTTGGTTCTAGTTTCACAGCAAAAACACCAGTTTTCAATGGTCATAACTACCTAGTTTGGTCAGTCAAAATGAAGGCTTATCTAAGGGCCTTCAACCTTTGGGAAGTGGTCCCACCTTGGCTCAGATAAAGCAGCATAATGAAGAAGTTACAAAAAGGTATAAAGCCTTGACTTGTATTCATTCTGCAGTAACTGATGAGATTTTCGACAGAATTAAGTGCTGTGAAACAGCCAAAGAAGCCTGGGACTTGTTGAAGGTAGAGTTTCAGGGTGACAGCAAGGGAATTTAGATGCAAGTTTTGAATCTGAAAAGGGAATTTGCTATTTTGAGGATGAATGAGTCTGAAACTGTCAAAGAGTTTTCAGATAGAATAATGAAGATTGTGAATCGAATTAGATTGCTGGGTGATGAAGAACTCTCTGATAAGAGGGTTGTTGAGAAGGTGTTGGTCAATTTGCCAGAAAAATTTGAGCACAAGATTTCCTCTTTGGAAGACTCCAAGGATCTTTCCAAAATTCCCTTAACTAAACTTATCAACTCTTTATAAGCTATTGAATAGAGAAAAGCCTTAAGGTCCGAAAGCAATGTGGAAGGTGCTCTCTTGGCTACTAAAAAGGGCAAATACTTGTGTTATTATTGGTTATAGCCTACAGTCTAAAGGTTATAGAGTTTTCAACCTTAAGACTCAAAAGATTGAAGTTTGTAGAAGTGCTAAGTTTGATGAAAGTGCAGCATGGGACTGGAAAAAATCCCAAGTTACAAACTCAGATTAGGTTGCTAAATTGAATGACAAACCAGAACTTGAAGCAGATTTTGATGATGTAGCTAATGAATCAGATTTAATTGATGATGCACCAGTGAGAGGAACTAGAACCCTGGAAGACATTTATAGTAGATGCAATTTGTCTACTGTTGAGCCCTCAAATTATTATGAGGCTGCAAATTCGGATGCATGGAGAGCAGCAATGAAGGAGGAGCTCAAAATGATTGAAAAAAATGACACCTAGACTTTGGTTGACAGACCAAAAAATAAAAACATCATAGGTGTTAAATGGGTATATAGGGTCAAGATGAATTCTGATGGCACCATCAACAAATATAAGGCAAGATTGGTGGCGAAAGGTTACTCTCAATTGGCTGGAATTGATTTTACTGAGACTTTTGCACCTGTAGCAAGACATGAAACTATCAGACTGTTGTTGGCTCTTGCAGCACACAAAGGTTGGAGTGTCTTCCATCTTGATGTCAAATCAACATTTTTAAATGGCAAATTGGAAGAAGAAATATTTGTTAAGCAACCAAAAGGGTTTGTGCAAGATGGTGCAGAGAATAAAGTGCATTTGCTTAAAAAGGCCTTGTACGGGCTAAAACAAGCTCCTAGAGCTTGGAACTGCAAAATTGATGATCACTTGTTGAGTCTTGGATTTGAGAAGAGTCTAAGTGAGGCTAATTTTTATGTGAAAAAGAAGAATGAAATACTTGTTATAGTCTCCATATATGTTGATGATTTGCTGGTCACAGGAAATGATGAAGCTGCTTTGAATCAGTTCAAGATTGACATGATGCCAATTTTTGACATGAATGATCTGGGCAAAATGACATATTTTCTTGGTATGGAGATATATCAGTCCAGCGAAGGCATTTTTATTTGCCAAAGAAATTTTACGAGTGAGATTTTGAGCAAATTTGCTATGTCAAACTGCAGGCCAGTTAGTACTCCTTCTGTGTCAGGAGTTAAATACAAAGCCATTGATGGTTCAACAAATGTTGATGCAGGGGTATATAGAAGTATGATTGGCAGCCTTCTATATTTATCTACTCCAGACCTAATATAATGCATGCTATTAGTTTGCTTTCAAGATTTATGCATTCACCTATTGAAGTTCATCTCAAAGGTGTTAAAAGAATATTCAGATATTTGAAGGCAACTACTGGTTTTGGTGTTTTCTATCCTAGAGCTAAGAAAATTAAGTTACTTGGCTTTTGTGACAGTGATTGGGCAGGGTCTAAGGATGATATGAAAAGCACCACTGGTTTTTGTTTCACTCTCGGATTAGGTGTTATAAGCTGGTGTTCTCAAAAGCAAGATGCAATTGCACATTCCACTGCAGAAGCTGAATATATAGCTGCTACAACTGCTGTGGATCAAGTTATTTGGTTAAGGAAATTGTTGGTTGATGTTCATCATGCTCAATCCAATCCTACTGAAATGTTGTGTGATAGCAAAGCTGCAATTGCTATTGCTAAAAATCCA